GAGTGTGTGTGTGTGTGTGTGTGTGTGTGTGTGTGTGTGTGTGTGTGTGTGTGTGTGTGTGTGTGTGTGTGTGTGTGAGTGAGTGAGTGAGTGTGTGTGTGTGGAGCCCCGCCCTTCAGAAACAGAGCGGAGGGAGAATGTGAATACGCACAGCAGTGGACACTCAGTGTTGCTGGATGCTGCATGTTGTTGGACTTTTGTACGCAAATAATAAATTAAAATGTTTTTGCTTTGCTGTCTTGAAAAACAATAAGTGTTTAGGATTTATTTTCCTTTTCAAATGTATACTTTAAAATAAACAGAACAAGCTTACATTACTCAGAGACAGTGCGGTGAAACGCCTTTAGAGGCTTCTGCCATAGTATTCAGTAAACTATGATGAGTACGGTGTAAATGGACCTCTGAACTCACGCTGGGTCTTTTGGAAACAGGGATTTCAGCGAGAGCTCTGATTGGTTTAGACTTCACCACAGAGGGAGCAGCAGTACTACAAAAGGGCAACAAAAAAACCACAACAATAATAATTAATAAAAACGTTAATTTCATTGAAGAATCAAAGAAAAACACATCATAAGTAATCTTTGTAAGTATTTTCACATTTTCTTTGTATATTTACCTTCCATTTTCTTTGTCAGTGTTGTCCTGGAAGACGGTGAACGGGGCGGAGGTCGGGGGAGCGCAGAACGAGGAGGCGCCTCCTTAAAAATAAAAAAATTAAAACGGAGAACAAATGTAGTAATAACGTTAACCTTGGTGCCGGATATCTGGTTGTGTGTGTGCATGTATCTCCTCCCTGTGTGTGTGATGTGTATAAATAAAGAAATAGAGTGTTGAGAGGCATATTTACCATTCCTCTGGTACCCGTTATCAAAGGTGTTCTCCGCGGCGTGGAGAACAGACGTGTTGTTGAACTGATCCTGGAAGACCGTCGGGGCCTGGAACATATCCATAATCACACCTGGAGGAAAGGGAACACATCATCACTTTATTGTGATGGAGAGGAGGAGGAGATAGCAACACCTGGTTGGACATTTTGAGGGATGTTTGAGAGTATCTATTTTCAACAGAGAAATGTGTCCGAAATGTCCCGAGTCAATACGGGAGATTTAGTCCCGTGGTAGAGGTACGTTAAGCTAGCTTTTAAGTTTTGTTTTACTTTTATGTACGAACCACGACATCAAGTGGAGTTCCTCGTACGTGTTTAACCTACCTGGTGATGAAGCTGATTCCGAGTCTGATTACCCCACCATTGCTGTCTAGGGATCGTTAAGGTTTTAACGGTACTACTACTTTTATCGATACCGCTTATCGGTCCGGTCTTTTAACGGTACTCTTATCGGTTCTTTTGGAGAAAAAAAAAGGTAACTAACTAAACAAATTGTGAACAAAACTAACATTGCTTTTTATTTAAATTAAATACATAATATTTCACATCAAAAGAAACAACAATGTTTTAACACATCGTATTAAATAATCTTGTGACAGAACTGTACACA